GATGTTCAGTATTGCTAGCCACTAGGGAAATGCAAATTAAGATCACCATGAGATATCACTACACTAATAGAACAGTGAAAATTAAAAAATAGTGGCAATAGCAAATGCTAGTAGATTTGGAGAAGCAGATCTCTCTTACATTGTGGGGATGTAAAGTGGTACAGGTATTCTGAAAAATATCTGACACTTTCTTAAAAAACCAAGCAGTTCAGGCATGTTGGTTCATGCTTGTAATCCCAATACTTTGGAAGGCTGAGGTGGGAGGATGGCTTGAGCCCAGAAGTTCCAGACCAACCTGGGTAACACAGGGAGTCCCTGTCTCAACAAAAGTAAAAGTAGCTGAGCATTGTGGTATGCACCTATGGTCCCAGCTATCTGGGAGGCTGAGACTGAGATAGGATTGCTGGAGCTCAGGAGATTGAGGCTGCAGTGAGCTGTGATCACACAACTGAACTCCAGCCTGGATGACAAAGTGAGACCCTGTCTCCAAATAACAGCAACATCAAAATCCCTAAACCTGATACAAGTAGAGTTTGGATATTTGTCCCCACCCAGATCTCATGTCAAGTTGTAATCCCCAGTGTTGGAGGTGGGGCCTGGTGGGGGGTGTTTGGATTATAGGGATGGATCCCTCATGGCTTGGTGCAGTCTTCCTGATCGTGAGTTCTCAAGGGATCTGGTCATTTAAAAGTGTGTGGCAACCTCCCTCTTCAACCTCTGTCTCTCTTGCTCCTGCTTTTGCTATATGACATGCCTGCTTCTGCCTCACCTTCTACCATGATTATAAGCCTCCTGAGGCCTCCCCAAAAGCAGATGCTGCTATACTTCCTATACACCCTGCAAAACCTGAGCCAATTAAACCTCTTTTCTTATCCGTTACCCAGCCTCAGGCATTTATTTATAGCAGTGTAAGAATGGCCTAATGCATACACATGGCCTATGAGTTAGCAGTCTCACTTCTGTGCATTTATCCCAGAGAAGTAAAACATTATGTTCACATACGTCTACAGATGTTCTTTACATATTTTATATATGAGTCCTGTATCAGAAATGTGCTTTGCAAATATTTTCCCCCAGTGTGGACTTCTTATCCTCTGTATATCCTATGTACGAAAGTTTACAGCAGATTTATTTTAATAGCCTAATACTTAGAAACAGCCAAAAAGTACCTCAATAAGTGAATGCCTAACAAACAGTGGGACATTGCTGAGCATGGTGGCTCATGCCTGTAATCCCAGCTACTTGGGAGACAGAAGTGGGATGATGGCTCATGACCAAGAGTTCAAGACCAGCCTGAGCAACATAGTGAGAACTTGTCTCTTTTAAAAAAAAATTTTTTTTTCTTTTTTTAATTAACCAGGTGGGGTGACTTGCTGCTAGTCCCAGCTGCTTGGGAGACTGAGGCCAGATGATCAGTTGAGCCCAGGTGTTTGATGCTGCAGTGAGCTATGATTTCATCACAGCACTTGGGCCTGGGCAACAGAGAGATACCCCATCTCAAAAAAAAAAAAAAAAAAAAAAAATCCTGAAATTTAAAAAATAAGCAAACTATGGGACATCCAGACCATGGAATACTTCACAAGAAAAGGGAATAACTGTTGATACACACAACAGCTTGGTTGGGTCTCAAAGACATACATAATGCTGAATAAAAAGTGCCAATCTCAAATGGTTACCTTATTGTATGTTTCCATTTGTATAACATTACCACAATGACCAGTTATAAAGCTGAATAGCAGATTGTCAGGAATTAGCCAGAGGAATAGGAGTAGTTGTGACTGTCATGGGGTAGCAGGATAGAATTCTTTGTGATGAAATAGTTTTGTATCGATTGTAATGATAGTTACATGACCCTGCACATGTGACATTTAAGTGACATAGAAGCATACTTAATATCAATTTTTTGGATTTAATATATTGTAGTTACATAAGACGAAACCAGTGGCGAAATTAGTGGATGGTACATGGGACCCATCTTTGCAGATTCCTTTGCATTTGTAATAATTTCAAAATAAAAAGGCAAAAACAAAAGAGAGGGATATCATAATTGCTATAGGATTTCAGAGGAAGAAGTAGTTCCTTGATAACTAGGAGAATGAGAGAAGACCTGCGGCCATAGCTTTTGAATAGTTTTTATAGGATAGGTAGACTTTTCACAAATCAGTACAGGGAAGAGAAGGGTATTTTAGACATATCAAGGTTAATAAGTGTTTATGGAATGACTGCCACTGTTTTATTATTATTAAGAAATGTTAACATCTGATTAGTCTGAAGAACATTTTAATTGAATGAAGAGGAATGTTTGTTTAAATTTTATATCTGATATAGAACTTGAGGATATTTGTTACCTTTGTGTTGTTACACAGATTCTGGAAGCCTAAGTGTAACAGAGAAAACATAAATTACCAATATCAGAAATGAAATGGAACAGTTTAAAAAATGGATAAGAATAATAAATGCCTGGGTTTTAAGCAAAACAAAGCTTATTTTTTTGTGGATTTAAGAAATTGAATCAGAGAAAAAGTCACATTTTATTTGTCAAAATAGGAGAACTCTTAACATTATTTTTATTTTTTGAGATGGAGTCTCTGTCACCCAAGCTGGAGGGCAGTGGCGCGATCTCGGCTCACTGCAACTTCTGCCTCCTGGGTTCAAGCAATTTTCCTGCCTCAGCCTCCCAAATAGCTGGGACTACAGGTGTGCACTACCATGCCTGACTACATTTTTGTATTTTTAGTAGAGATGGGGTTTCACCGTCTTGGCCAAGCTGGTCTCTAACTACTGACCTCAGGTGATCCTCCTTCCTGTCTCTCAAAGTACTAGGATTAGAGGCATGGGCCACTGTGCCTGGCGAGAACTCTAATATTAGACAACGATGTCAAGATAAATTACTATATAGGCCTATGTTAAAACTCTGTAGTGACCTATTCTTTTTCTTTCTGGAATGTTCACAGTTTGTAATTACACATTTTTGTTGATTGCTATATTTCTTTTTTTTTTTTTTTTTTTAGAGACAGGGTTTCACCATGTTGGCCAGGCTGTTCTCAAACTCCTGACCTCAGGTGATCTACCTGCCTTGGCCTCCCATAGTGCTGGGATTACAGGCATGAGCCACCGTGCCCAGCCTGCTTAATATTTCTATTACTCAATTATGAGCTTTCTGTAGCTCATCATTGTCTTCCCAGTTCCTATCCCTGTCCCTGACAGCACTTGGTAAATATTTGTCGAATGCATTAATGCATGAAATCAATGACTTGGCAAAACACTTTAGAATGAAAGTTACAGAGGTAGAGAAACAGCATGGTAGGATAGGCTAGACAGATAAGTTTAGTGGATTGGTAAAACTTTAATAGAGCTACACAAAGATTTAAGCTTTTACAACCAAGAAATTCAGGATTGGATTTTGTAATAGGTTGAGTTTTAAAGAATTCCAGATTGTTAGCATGAACAGTAGATGGGCCATGTAAATAGCTGTAAAAAATGTAATATAGCACAGGTTAAAAGAGACCAGAAACATGCCATTTCAAACTGTTTTCCGGTGTCGAAGCTTTCTTAATGAACCACCACTTAAATGACTTGATGAGATTAACTGACAGCCCATTCCTGTTTGAAGCACTATCTGATTCCCTATAGCATGCTGAAGACTTACTCCATGGTATGTTTACCAGTTGTAAAGTTACCAAGAACTGTTTACTTGTTTGTGCTCCCAATACTGTCCTTGCTAGTTGTACTAATTTTAATCACACTATTTATTTATTTATAGACAGATTTTCTTTCTGTTGCCTAGGCAGGAGTGCAGTGGACCAGTCTCAGCTGACTACAACCTCTGCCTCCCAGGTTCAAGGGATTCTCGTGCCTCAGCCTGCTGAGTAGCTGGGACTACAGGCACATGCCATCATACCTGGCTAATTTTTGTATTTTTAGTAGAGATGGGTTTTTACCATGTTGGCCAGGCTGGTATCAAACTCCAGAGGTCAGGTGATCTGTCTGCCCCCGCCTCCCAAAGTAATGGGATTATAGGTATATGCCACCACAACTGGCCTAATTAAAATTTAAATAATTGCATAAACCAAGGAGAAGAATAGAAAAAGAGATGATGTTTCTGTGAAAATTAAGTTAAATGTTTTGGAAAGATTTGATAAAGGGTAATTACTAAAAAATGCTGAGTTAGATATGTGCAAGAGAGCTATAAAATAGTAGGGATAAATTATTCTTAAAAAAAAATAGAAAAGGATTATGCACTCAGATTGCCTCATGTGTCTTATAATTCTTGCCCCACTTTTAAAGCTGTGTTTTTTAATCTGTAGGACATAAAGTCAATTTAATGGGTTGAAGTCAACAATTTTTTTAAAGAAATATTTTAGAACACATTACAGTACGTTTATACCTGGAAATGAGCATTGTTTTATGGAGCTTTTCTTGAGTTTTTAGAAGTCTATACATATGTGTGCAATGTAAAATGAAAATGTGATTTTCAGTGAAAAGCTTAAAAACTTTTGAGTTTGGATCCAAACTCAAAGAAAAGGCTTTGGCCCAAAAGATTGGTGAATAAGTGCATATTGATATGCTTTGGGTTAAAATAAAATGATTATGTACATGTGTTTATGATATTTAGGTTGATGGTTTTGTTCAACCAACCAATTACTGATCTCAGTCTCATGGGATAAGAGTTTTTACGTATTTCATTTTACTCGTCTTCCTCTTATGCCTCCTTATTTTGCTTGAGTCCCCAGCCCCACAATACCCTGACTCTCTGTTAGTAGCTATGTGACCCTAAGAGTCATTAACTAGGCCTCAGTTTACTTTTTATGGAGTAAGGTTATCCTTCAGATTGCGTGTTATTTGGCAGTGCTTAATAACCACGTTGATAAAGTACATTTCTTTTGTGGTATCTGCCCATCTAGATTTTTAGTAAATGATAGAAATTCTATTAAGTTATTCTGAAAGATTTTTGAAAGATTTTTTTTTTTTTTTTTTTTTTTTGGCACTGAGAGCCCGTAATGCAACGTTAGAGAGTATCATTTACATATTCTGCGATGTAGTGCACAAGAATATTGACAGTGCCAATACCTATCACTTGATTCTGTGTCTAAAATTTTCAGATCCTGGAATGTTCTTTCACTGGTGGACATTAGTAAAATTATTTTAGGCTATATGTGTTTGATGGATTTTTTGGACTTTTTTTGTAACTATTTGTAATGCTTAACTATTTTTATTACTGAATGTTGAAGAAATATTGTTTTCTGTAAGTAATAAGACACTAAATTATTGGTAGATTGGAAAAGAAGTTAGAAAGGATATTGGTGTACTGTTGAGATTGCCTGGGGTGAAACCAGTGAAACTAAAAGGTACAGACTCCCCACCATGACATACAACGGAGGTAACCGGGAATAATTGTTGAGTCAAATGTTTCTACCTGTTCAACTAGTTGTACAGTCAGTACAGAATAGAGTGTACCAATGGCTATTTGTATACAGGATGACCAGGCTGGATGTTAATGATTTAGTAAGGCAGAGTATAGGCCAATCTCAATTTAATCTTGTATAAAAAGTTGCGTTTTAAAACACTACTTTGATTTAGTTGTCATTGTCCTCAATTTCATTTCTAATGATACTTACACTGGCCCATAAGATCATGAGTGTAAAAGTATTTTCATACTAATAGTGTTAGCCATGAATTCTGGGGTCCTGGAAGAGCGTTTGTCCCTTCTTTTAGAAAAAAAAAAACTGCTACATTTTAGGTATAATTGTGAAATACATGAGTTTGAACTTTGCCCTTTCAGCTCCTTTTTATACTTCCATCTGTCACTACTATTTCCTGTTATTACTACCTTCTGTGAACCCTTTACCCCTATTATCCCACTCCCAATCCAGGTCTTCTAAACATCAGTTATTTTATTAGAGTATTTATTGGCCACTTTTCTAGTAGAAACAACTGTTGCCTCACTAATCAACTCCTGAACTAGGTGTTAAATGAAAGTAGTGGGACTGTATTAATTCATGCTGAAGTGTGAATGACCAGCAATCCAACAAACCTCTCAGAAATGGTTTTCCGTTGTATAAGGGGTGTTCTTCCTAGGCTAAGTTTTAATCTAAGTGATTCTTTGCTAATATTTCAGACAGATGACCAAGTGAAATGAACATCTGAACTTTGTGGGAAAAGCTGTTATTTTCTTCTTTTGAACATAAATGTGCCATGGTTGGGGAGTACAGGCGAGAGATGGTGGCCATTCTCCCAATCCATCTGTAGAGGCTTGGACAAACTCTTGGTGGTTAAACTTGCCCTCTGAAATTAATGGAGTACCTAGATCAAGAGTGGCAGAAAGGGGTTTTTCTTGCTTTTCTTTCCCACTGTAGCAAAGTGAGCTTTTTTCCTGGGTGAGCTTTGCAGTAGAGGGGAAGGAGGTCCCACGCTGAATAGTAGCCTATGTGGGCTGGTAAACTATAGCCTCCCTGCTGTACACAGGCCCTATGGGACTCTCTTAGCCTAGGGGGAGGCTATTTCACTAGAAAGGTGCTGTTCCTGTTGGGTACAGACACATTTCTTTGTCAGCAATGTTTGTCTGGCTCCAAGTCATCCTTAGCTAATATATGAAAGACTACACTGCCACTAGAAAGGTAGTTTAAAGATGTTATTACATAAAGTAGAAAAGGGAAGATGGTAAGTTGCAGAAATATCTTATAGGTGCAAGCAATAAATTTAAAATTTCGTAAAGGCAGAAGGGGAGGGAGATAAACATTTATTGATACCTACTATAACCTAGACACATTCACCATTGCTTTTCATCTTTTCTCACCAAGGAGAATTTGTATAATCCAACATATTCTACCTTAAAAACTCATTTGAAATTTGTATTCTCTTCTATGATATATTCTTATTTTAATAGAAAGTAGTGTGAAATATTAAATTATATTGATGCTTTCAAAAGATGGATCATGCTTATTGGGTGACTTGATGTCTGCCCTGGCACAACTGCATCACAGTCCTCCAGTCCACACTCTTATTTGAGAAGCATGAAAACATTTACCTCACAATAACCTCATGAAAGGGATATCATCATCATTTTATAGATGAGAAAATTAAGACTCAAAGAGGGAAGGAACTTAAACAGGTCTTACAGGTACTAAATGGCAGTGTTAAGTTTCTCCCCCCAAACTCTCTCCTCATATGCATTTTGTGATTCTGTAAAACAGAAAAACTAGTAATACGGAGTGCTGATCCAAAAGTTTAAGGTTTCTGCTCCTCTGCTGACTTGCAGGGGAATCTTTTTAAAGGCCTCTTTTTGAAACATCGTCTTTCATTTCCTCATATGAATGTTGAGAAAAGTTTCAACCTTAATGTTGGGAAAAGGTGCCTACATATTTTAAAAATCAGTTGTTTGATATTCTTGAAGACTACTTCTAAATAAAAGCAGTTATTAGTAGGATGACATATTTGAGAACTCTCCTCAAATCTATGGCTGTCTTCTGTATATCTGTACACACCTGACGTTTAAACACAATGCCTTTGCCACCATTTACTGGTTTCCTCACTGCACTGAGAACAAACTATTCAGTATGTTTACCACCTCCCAGCAATTCCCTACGTGTGTAACTCATCTATAATGCATAAGAATAGCCAAGAGCACAGATTCTGATGTCAGAAAATTTTAGTTTTAAATCCTGACTCCAAATTACTAGTGTGACATTGGATAAAGTGTTTTAGTTCTCTGTGCCTCAGTTTCCTTATTTTAATAATATTTAAGGAAAGAAAAGGGTAATAATGCTTATTACTCCATAGGTTTTTAAAATAAATCTTCTGAATTGTCTATGATGATTAGGCTGTAATGTTGTCATGTTATAATGCCTTAACAATTTTGAGTTGTTGACCTACCTTGTAAATGTACTTTAAATTAAATAAACACAGTTTAGTAAGGATTACATATATGTACGTATGTATGTTCATTAAGTGAAGTTTACTTGAAAATACTAAGTAATTCCGCAATTTACATGGCCCACCCTTTGACAATAGAGATTCTAAGTAACAAACTTCTTCCTACTTGAGATAGATTTTCATTGGGGGAAGGTTACTGCATAATATGTCGCATTCAGCTAATCTATTCTGTTAATTTGGTAGTATAAAAAGATTTGTAGATAATGAATTTCTACACTCTTTAAGACACTTTATACACTTTGCACTGCTCTTGGGTTTACTGTTGCCATGTCTTAAAGTGGGACTTTCTCTTGACAGAAGTGTGTTAAGCATTGGAAAATTCCCTATCAGTAGACTAGCACCATCTTGACAGCCTTGTGTTCTGCTTCTACCTTGCTAATTGTTTCCTTGGGATTATTTGGATTGTGTAGAAAGCTTTTTGCAAATCCTCTTATTACTGAAGTCATTGTTGCCAGCAGGAATAAGATTAAAGGTGCTTAAGTCTGTAGAGTTGTTTCTAATTTGTACGTGTCATTTAAGTGGCATTTTAACAGAACTCTGTCTCCTGTACCTCCCTTCTCCCCCGGTACTATCTTCAGTTAGGTCCAAGAAGCCAGGCCATTGGAAGAAGTCTCATTTTATCCTCCTAATTATTATGCTGGCACTCAGGAGATAATTTTTCCCTTCATGCACTGCCAATTAATATGCAAATGGACTGATAAATATTTATGCAACGATTTAAATTATGCAGGGAGTGCTTTCAGTATATTCTGTAAATGAATTGTTCATGGACTTCAAAGTGCTGGCTGCTGTGCTAACGAGAAGAGATTTGCATAAGGCCCTAATCACGCGCATACTGATTAAGCTTCATTATGGAAACTGCCAGCTGCAATCTTTGTTTCTATTTTATTACAAAAAGAGGAACTTTTTCATGCTTCAGTTGCCTTGACAATGTCAGTCCTAGCTGATAGGAGAGACTAAAACTCCTCTGAGCAACTGAAGTTTCCTTATTCAGTTGAAGATTGCTATGGTGTAACAGAAGTTGTATTTTGCTTTTCCCCTTAATCCACTTTCCACCCTACCCACTCCCCACCTTTTTCTCTTAAGAACATAGTGTAAATTTGTTAGAAATAGTAGTACCTTCTTTCCCCACCCCAAATCGCTACCTGTTTCTTCCTTGTTTGGACTCTCTGCTCCTCTAGAAGATTTCACAGCAATGCTGGACTGCAGTGACTATGTTCTAGGTGGGTACCAGCACAGTTCTTCTCTTAGAAGCTTTAATATGGAAATAGCATGTGTGGGGTTGACTATGCATAAATGCTTAATCGCATATGCAGCCTTTGTAGGGGGAGGGAGAGAGTTGGACTGAGCTGGGAAGGAGGAAAGCATTTGCAAAGCACAAGCTTACTTGAATTTTCAGTGGGTCCCTCCCTGTGACTAGCTCTTCTGGTTCAGAGGGTGTTATTAGTAAATACAGTGAATTTACATTGAATGAACATTTTTGCTTTTTGGAAATTCCTATTGAGAACATTTCATGTAGTTATAAAGACAACTTAAATCTGAAACAAGGCATAACTGTAATAGATAATATATACATATTAATAAAAATGTTTTTCATACCTAATGAGAATGTCTTATACAAAAACCAAAATGCTCCATGAAAAATAAGGTTGAGTCACAGTGCAGAATAGTTTTCATAAATGTTAATAAAGAGGGTAATTGTAATGGTTGCTGCAGTAGATCTGTTGATCAGTTTCCAGATTTTAGAAACTAATAACTGTTTTCAAATTTTTGCTAGGATTAGTCTCTCTTATTTTTTTAAATCAAGTATGTGCTGTAGATAACTACAATTTTGAATGTTAGAAAACCTCATTTTAGAGTTTTCTCCATAGAGCAGCAAGCCTTTTGGAGAGGAAGATGCCAGCTTAAATATATTTAAACCATCTTTGGTGACAGAGATTTCAAAGAAATCAAGGCACTTTGGTTTTTAGATATACGGTGGCTAACGGTGGTCATATTTTGTGTGGAGTTCTGTCTGTTTGTATGTAGAATTTTTGAGACTTTTTAAAGTTACTCTAGTCACCTGGAAAGTTAAATGATATGAACTCTAGGACTTGGATATCTTACGTTTAAAACTTTTGCAAATGACTTTTTTTTTTTTTTTTTTGTATATTGTCATTTTCCACACTTGAAAATTGAGGCTACTCCTGTCACCTTCATATTGAAAATGTTTGAATTCTTATGTGGAAGGCATGGCCTAAACCCAGGGTAGCAGGATCTGCCCAGCGCAGTAAAAGCCACTATGGAAAGGGTCAATGACACAAACAACAAATTTATGTCAGGAATTAAATCTTTTATTTACTCTTTGACATTTACCTAGTTGGGAATTTAAAAAAAGGAAAGAAAAATACCTTTTTGGAAGATTCTAACAGTTCATTTTAGAATGAGAAATTATATCTTTTACTTTCACTTAATAGTAAACATTATTTAAACAGTCTTCCCATTGTTGTACAACTCTATTTTTGTGTGTATGTGAAGTAATGTTTTATTTTTGTGTGTATGTGAAATAGTTTTGTTTAATGCTTTTGAAGCTCTTGACAATTCAGTAGACTATGAGAAGATTCACTTAAAATCCCTGTGACATAATCTTTAATTTTTAGATGGGAAAATTAGAATATGAATTGTACAAGGTGGGGCTTATGACTCGTTAAGAATTGTGCTGCTTTATTTCTTAATGTTAACTGATTCATCGTTTTTTCTACTTTCCATTAAAATTCATTTAAAGGAAACATTGAGCAGTGTGTATGTTAATGGTATATTCTATTACATTTGTTGTGATCTTTGTTGACTTTCATAAGATTTTGGTTGTCATTCAAAAGCTCATTTTCACTAAATTATACACCTTTTCCTTTCAAATCTTAGTATGCTTTCAGATGACATCTAGATTTCTCTGGACAGTGAGGAGAAGCAAGCTGTAGAACTGCCCTCATTTACAACCACAAGCATATGAATTTGAACCCTTTGAACATTAGAAAACCAAACCAAAGTTGTGACAGAACTACCTAAGCCCATAAGACAAGCATCAGTTACAGAAACTTACTGTATTAGAAAAGCTATTAAACATCTTGTTGTAAATGAAATTTATAAAAGAAAGACTCCTGATGTTTTTTTCTCATTTGTTATCCATGGGGATAATTTGACTGTGAAGAACGTGGTTGAGAATTCTATCTAGTGATTGTTTTGATTTCCTAGTTAGATGTTTAAGCGTATGACCAAATGTGCTCTTTGGTCAAAAACACAATATAGTTTAAACATTTGTTTTCTGTTAATAACTGTAGTTAAATGTTTTAACTTATTTAACCACTAAATAAGTTAATGGGGGGAAAGGCTGAACTTATTTGACAGTAAATTTGTTTGATTATAAATATTCTAAGTTTGAGTCTACAGTAGTAGAATAAGAGATAGATTTCTGTATGTTCCATTTCTTACCCTTTCAAAGAGTTAGAAGGACAGCAGAGAGTTCTTGTCTCTTCTCTTAATGTATTTTCTGGGATACCTAATATTGCTTGATGAAAACTTTATGGAAATAAAAAAATAGATAATCCAGAAATGATAAACTCATAGTAGCAGTTTCATTTAGGATATCGAGGTAGTATTACTTCTAAGTGGGTGTGTTTGTAGTTCAGTTTTGAAATTAATAACTATATCTGTTATACCGTATGGTACAACTTCTTGTACTGGTTTGTAGTTGAGGTATGAATTTCATATGTTCTCACTTTAACTTGTTTAGTGTGGTTGGGGAGGGGTGTAAATTTGGAGATAATTTATCTTAGACGTTGTTTTCCTTTAGTTGATAGGTTGAGTTAAGTGTCCCATCTATTATCAAGATTACCCGTGGATTGTTTTGGTTATAATGAATGAGTATCATTGCATATTGAGAAAGATACTTTATTTGGGAATAACATTTTATTTTGTGAGGTGCTTCCCTTCTCTCCAGTTTTACTTCTTTAATATATTTTATACTTCACATTACAAAGCATTTATTCCTTTTACATATCAGACTTTCTAATTTTTTTTCAGATTACAGTTCTGCTGTCTTTCTTGAAAGAATGTCAGAATTCTTTAAAAAGACGGTTTATTTGTGAATCCCTTCAGGGTCTGGGCAATTTTGAATTTTTCCCAGATAACCTTTTATTATAATTTCTAATGTTTTAGCCTGACACGCATACACTGGGTCTCCTTGAACTATATGATTATTACATTAGTTAACCCTTTTTTTCTGCCACAATTTTGACTCCTCAATCCCATCTCCATACCCAATTTTTTAAAAACCTTATTCACCTCTGATTTATTGCAGACTCAAGAATGAACAATCCGTCAGAAACCAGTAAACCATCTATGGAGAGTGGAGATGGCAACACAGGTAACACTTTTCTGATCAAGCTTTTTAATTAACTCTAGTAGAGCACAAAGAAACTTTCCACCTAACTAGGACTCATATTTGGCAGATATAGACCAGTTTCAGTATTGAGTTGTCAAATATGATTCAGTCCTTAAGGAACTGGGAGGGATTATGTTTGTTTAAGCTTATCTAACTTTCTTCTGCAGATAGCCTTGTTGTTTTGCTTCAATCTATCAGAGAAACTATGCAGTAGTTAGGAAAATTGTCCTTTGGGTCAGATAGTTTTGGGTATAAATTATGGATTTACCACTTACTAGCTATGTGACTTTAGGCAATTTCCCCAATCTTTTTCAGACTTAATTTATTCAATTACAAAATGAGGATAATACATTTCAGGTCATTTTGAGTATTAAAGGAGATAATATATGTGACATGTTAAGGAAAATGCCAGCTACACAGTAACCATTCAGTAAAATGTTATTCTTCTTACAGATGTTAATCAAAATAGTAAATTTTATTTGCCCTACATTTGATAGAAATTATATTAAAAGTTATGATAGTATCAATGAGTAGTTATAAACAGATATACATTTTTAATACATTCTTTTATTTGGTAATTTTAAAAAGTTATACTTCATTAAACCTTTTATCAGGAGAAAATTATCATATAAATGAGAATAGTGAGGCCCCATGAGAGAAAGGTAAATCCATAAAGGATGGTCTGTCTCCACAGCTCATACTCTTGAGTCAGTATATTGCTTAGAGGATGTAAGATTATGTATCTTTCTCATTTGCCAGAGATGATACAAGGACCTCCCTGGCTTCTGGTAAAGGCATAAATCAAAATAGTAAACCAAATAAGAAGACAATTATGGGCAAGGATGCACAGAAAGTACTTCTTTCTAAAAACTAGGTTTTTCACTTGCAGAGAGGGATTCCTTTTGACTTACGATTTTAAAAATGCTGAACTATGAGTGATGGTAATAATGAAAGGCCCTCTTAATTTATGGTAAATGGCTGAGTTGAGCTAATATAGCAGTTTTCTGCCTACATGTCTTTTGCTGTAAACTGTCCGATATGTGGAGATGCTTATGTTAATCTCTACCTCTTTATATGAAAGTGAGCTGTGGGGCTTCCCTGTTCACCCGTTTTGTTTAACACACTTCATAGTACTCTTACTGAGGCTAGCCAAGTAGACTCCTGTAGTATTTCTTGAGAAGGGGAAGGGCAGCATTGTATTCTGTCTGAACTGTCAGACACAGTCTCCTCTTTGTTATTTCTCTGTCCTCTGTTTGGGCTCCATCTTTCTTTCTTGTGTAGCACTGGTTCCTATGTCAGTGCTGGTGCTTCAGCCACCTAGCTTAGGTGTGGGAAATGTTTACAGGGAGAAATAGGGCAGCAGATCCCCTTAAGAGATTAGGGGGTAGGGTGGTGGGCCAGACACCTGTGCCTGAAGAACAGCTTCAAAGAAGAAACATACTTTTTTTCCTAAGAAAAGACAAGCAGAATAATTGGAAAACACTGAAAATACCCATAATATCAGACTCCATGGAAATCCCTGTATTTACTTTTAATGCTACTACTGTAATAGCAGTCTCAGCAGTTACCATTTATTGAACAACTACAACACTTTTTTTTTTTTTTTTGAGATGGAGTTTCGCACTTGTCGCCCAGGCTGGAGTCCAGTGGCGCGATCTCAGCTTACTGCAACCTCCCGCCTCCTGGGTTCAAGCAATTCTCCTGCCTCAGCCTCCCAAGTAGCTGGGATTATAGGAGCCTACCACCACGCCCAGCTAATTTTTTGTATTTTTAGTGAGACAGGGATTCATCATGTTGGCAAGGCTGGTCTTGAACTCCTGACCTTAGATGATCTGCCCGCCTTGGCCTCCCAAAGTGCTGGGATTACAGGTGTGAGCCACCGCACCCGGCCTGCAACTATAACACTTAATAAAACCTCTGTGACATGTTTTTTCCTAATGCACTGTGTGCATCACCTGATTTCAAGTTAAATTCTTTTGACAAGTTAGATACCATTATTTTAAAGAATAGGAAATTGAGGCACAAAACCAGCCAGGAAATAAAGGCAGGTTTAAGATATGCAGCCTGTATGTGAGTTTCCCCAGGAAGTGCAATAAAATAAAACTGAAAATTTAAGCAACATTTTGTATATGTCCAGACCTATAGGTTCTAACTGGAGCACTTTTTGAAACAGTCTTGTGAATTTCTTGCCCCTTTTTAGTATGGAATGTGTGGCAGACTGGTTCCTGTCATAGACTTTGCATATTTTCTTAACCATGTTTGATACATTAGATATAAAATTACAGTTTATTTAGATAATTATATGCTTAAAAATTTGTTTTTATTTAAGCATACAACAAATGAACCTTAAGACTCTTGAATTGTTTGTTAGTTAACTATTATTTTTTGGTGGTTTGTGAAAAACAAGTAAAATGTTTAAGGGAAAGAACCCTTAGCATTATAATAAAACTAAAGCCGCACAATTTCTGGATTCATAATACATTTGTGTAGATCATTTTTTCCTGAAATGTTTACAATTGTAATAATTTTGATTTGTGAGACTTTAAGGAGAACGATATTGTAAGATTATTTTAAGATTGTGTTGATATGTTAGTTTTTTGTCTTTCTTCTGTCAGTGATTCGAGAAGCAAAATCAAATGATGTACTTTTTGTCAAAATAGCCCTTACATGTTCGCAGAAAATCTATCGTTAAGGTTTTTTTTTGTTTGTTTGTTTTTTGTTTTTTGTTTTTTTTTGAGACGGAGTTTCACTCATGTTACCCAGGCTGGAGTGCAATGGCGCGATCTCGGCTCACCGCAACCTCCGCCTCCTGGGTTCAGGCAATTCTCCTGCCTCAGCCTCCTGAGTAGCTGGGATTACAGGCACGCACCACCATGCCCAGCTAATTTTTTGTATTTTTAGTAGAGATGGGGTTTCACCATGTTGACCAGGATGGTCTCGATCTCTTGACCTCGTGATCTACCCGCCTCGGCCTACCAAAGTGCTGGGATTACAGGCTTGAGCCACCGCGCCCGGCCTAGGTTTTTAAAAAATGTATTCAGTAAGTGCCTCTTCTGCATGTAAAGTACTATAATCGGTGTTACCAGAATATACAATGAAAATAGGTGAAATAACCCTCAGTCTTTAAGGAGTTAACAATTCATTAAGAGATAATACTGATAAATAGGTAACTGATTCTGGGTAGATTATGGTAAGTAATTCAAGAAGAGGTATTAAAAAGTGCCATAGTGGTATTAAGTAGGTGTTTCTGTGAGGAAATATGAGTATGTTTATAGGTCAGGTGCAAGGACCCATCGGGGAGCAGGAGAGTGGAGAAAGAAATACAATTAATTGAACCAAGGTAGGGGTGAAGGGCTAGGATCAGAAGTGCAGAATGAAGGGTTGGTTCTGAAAATGAAAAAAGACTATCCCATTTCTCTAAAACTAGGGAGAAGAAGCAAATAATATACAATATCAGAGAAAATTGAAGTGGAAGGGAGAAGCAAAACTGAGCATTGATTCACATCAGATTGCCTCATTTTTCTCATTAAAGTCGTTGAGGTGGTCACCTGAGAAGAAGCAGGGATATAATAATAATAATGGCAGCAGCTACTGTTTTTTGAATTCTTACTGTAGGTGTGTGGCTAGCCACTTTATTATATATACTTTATTGTTAAAATACTCTTATAAGGTTAACTAGATTTATAAAAAGGATTGATAAGCCTATTGAGGGTCAGGCTCAAAGAAAATAAATATGTTAGCATATCCAGCCAACATAGTTATACAGTTGATCCTTGAATAACATGGATTTGAGCTGCATGGGTTCACTTATATGCAGATATTTTTTCATTAAATGTATTGGATTTTTTTTTTTTTTTTTTTTTTTTTTTTTTTGAGATAGAGTCTCGCTCTGTCACCAGGCGCCAGGCTGGAGTGCAATCTCAGCTTACTGTAACCTCTGCCTCCCAGGTTCAGGCAATTCTCCTGCCTCAGCCTCCCTAGTTGCTGGGACTACAGGCACACGCCACCATGCCCAGCTAATTTTTGTATTTTTTTAGTAGAGATGGGGTTTCACCATGTTGGCCAGGATGGTCTCGATCTCTTGACCTCGTGATCTGCCCACCTTGGCCTCACAAAGTGCTGGGATTACAGGCGTGAGCCACTGCGCCCAGCAGATTTTTTTTTTTTTTTTTTTTTTGCAACAGTTTGGAAAAACAGTTGAACTGTGAAATACTGAGAAATATTGAAAAAATTTAAAAGGTATGTAATGAATGCATAAATATATGTAGATGCTATTCTGTTTTATCATTTATTACCATGAAATATTCACATCTATTAAAATTATAAAAACTTAAAATGTTTCAAAACTTATGCACACAAACACTCAGAGACTGCATACATGGCACCATTCAGTCTAGAGAAATATGAACAAATGTAAACAGCACAGTATTAAATTGTAGTTGCGTAAAATTAACTGCAGTACCTACTATACTACTGTAATAATTTTGTAGGCACCTCTTGTTGCTATTGTGGTGATCTCAAGTATTGTGAGCATCCGTTTAAAATGCTGTGTGACCCTAATCACATCACAGTGAACAGTTCATCAAGTAAGTTGTGTGGCCGGGTGCAGTGGCTCATGCCTGTAATCCCAGCACTTTGGGAGGCCGAGGCAGGTGGATCATGAGGTTAAGAGATCGAGACCATCCTGGTCAACATGGTGAAACCCCGACTCTACTAAAAAAACAAAAAAATCAGCTGGGCATGGTGGCGCGTGCCTGTAATCCCAGCTACTCAGGAGACTGAGGCAGGAGAATTGCCTGAACCCAGGAGGTGGAGGTTGCGATGAGCCGAGATCACGCCATTGCACTCCAGCCTGGGTAATAAGAGCGAAACTTCGTCTCAAAAAAAAAAATAAATAAAGTAAATTGTGTATTGCAGTAAAAAGTGATCTCTCTTTATTCTTGAGTATTTTTCATCCTGTTTAGTGCAATAACCTAAACCTT